GCTTTTAGCTTTGTTTTTAATTTTTAATGGTTTTTATTTTAGTTACTGTTTTGATCATTTTAGCTTTAGCTATTGTTTCATTCATCTTAGTTTTTTAGCTACTTTTTTGCTAATTGTGGCTTTGAGATGTAGATTTTCTTAGTTTTTGTTTTGTTTTTTTTAACTGTTCTACTCATTTTAAAAATTTTCAACAGTTTTGCTAATTCAAGCTTTTAGCTAGATTTTTGCAAAACTTCTGTTTTAGAGACAATTTTGTCATTTAGCTTTAGTTTTGCTACATGTAGCCTTTAGCTTTGCCTTTTTTTTCACTGATTTTGTAATTTTATTTTCTAGCTACTCTTTTGCTGATTATAACTTTCTTTTGGTCATAGTTATAGCTTTTAGCTTTTCAGATTTTTAGCTTCTGTTGTTTGAACTTTAGCTGTCATTTAGCACTCCTCATTCAAACAGAAAATGTAAAACCACTAGTGAATTGTTTTTTTCGCCCCCGTTCCTCTGACAGAATAAAAATCCTGGACGTTTTCGCCGAGCAGCCGCTGGCCACGGTCTTCTCTCGGCTCATCGAGCCGCCGGCGGAGGGCAGCCTGGACGCGGCCCAGCAGCGCCTGCAGGACCTGGGGGCCCTGACGGCGGAGGAGAAGCTGACCCCGCTGGGCTACCACCTGGCCTGCCTGCCCGTCGACGTGCGCATCGGCAAGCTCATGCTGTTCGGCGCCATCTTCCGCTGCCTCGACCCGGCGCTCACCATCGCCGCCAGCCTCGCCTTTAAATCACCATTTGTAGGATTTGGGCTGATTTATCCGCTTCACGTCATCATTCATGTGCCGATTTATTTATTTAAATAAACAAACTGTTGGTGTGATTCCAGGTGTCTCCATGGGACAAGCGAGAAGAAGCCAATGAGAAGAAACTGGACTTCGCCGTGGCCAGCAGTGACCATCTGGCTTTGCTGCAGGCGTACAAGGTACCACCTGTCTGTCTGCTACGACTCTCAGCTGCCACCACGCTGACTCATCATTATAAGACCGGTGTCACCTCTGCTGCAGGGTTGGTGCTGCGCCTCAAAGACCAGCCACCAGGCCGGCTTCAGGTTCTGCAGGGAGAACTTCCTGTCGTGGCGCAGTTTACAGGTCGGCCAGCTTTTGTCTCTTTAAACCGTCGAATCCAAACAAACCCTGACGTGTTTTTACCGCTGCAGGAGATCGCCAGCCTGAAGCGACAGTTCGCTGAGCTGCTGTCGGACATCGGCTTCATCAAAGAAGGACTCAGAGCCAGGATCATCGAACGCATGTCCTCAAAGGGCGCAGACGGGGTTCTGGAGGCTACTGGACCAGAGGTGAAATAAATATCAGCAGCTTCACTTTCAACTTTAAAGGGATCCCTGATTAGTTGTAACATTAGACTTTATTTGAAAAACATTTATTTTAACTGTAAAATAAAGACTGTAAAAATACTGTAGGC